GCCCCAAAGATTACCAGCCCTCCTTGCAGTGTTGGGATGCGAACCTTGAAGCCAACTTCACCAATTCCACTCCGGAAGGGCTTTGGTGTGAAATCAACCAATTCGCTGTGTCTACACTGCTTGAGTCTGGTGCCACTTGGAAACCTGGTATTCAAAAACGTGCTGTTGCTCCTGTTTTTAGATCCAAACAATACTGCCCAGGGCAACAAAACTCAGGATCGGCCACTACTCTGCGCCTTTCCTGGCTTTATAATGCCCGTGCCAAGGTTTTTGACATCCAAGCTAAGGTTGCCAAGAGTAGGCTCTCAGATCAAGAGTGTGATATTCTGCATAATGCCCTTGCCAAGTTGACTAGACTTTTGCGGAACCTCAAAGCCCCCTTTGACTTTCGAGGCTCTCGCTGCCCTCACTTGTTGACTTTGCATGAGTGCCACCTTTGGCTTCAAGTTGAGATCGCACAAACAGAGAGCAATTTGAAATCAGCCAGAATCCGTGCATGGCGGGAGAAAATTCAGCATTCAGCCACTTCTGACCGTGCCTACCTTTTCCACCACCTCAAGAATAAGGCGCAAGATCAGCCCAACAACCTTGTTATTGATGATTGTGGGCATATCATTTACCAGCCTGATAAAGCCCTTAATGCTATCAACAACCAATGGGATGATATTTTTGCTTCCAATATTGGCCACGAAGACCCAGTTGAAGTCTTGCGGGTCCTTTGGCCGTACCTCTCGCGTGAGAATAAGCCATGGACTCCGCCAGCCCTCACAGGGGCCGATATCTTTGAGACCCTTCAGAGACGCCACCCCAATGCAGCGCCTGGGCTTGATGGATGGCGGACCACTGAACTGCAGCGATTCCCTCTTGCTCTGTGCGATTTGATTGCTGCCTTCTTTCGCCGCCTCGAGCAGCAGGTTGACCATTCGCTCCCAAGAGCCTTGACTGAGGCCAAGTTAGTTATTCTCAATAAGCCAGGGCCATCTTCCCCCCTGAACAAGCGGCTGATTACTATCTTGCCGCCTCTTTTACTAGCATACACGGGCGCTCGCTTTCGTCAAGCCAAGGAGTGGCAGGCAACCATCATGCCGCCTTCTATTGTAGGTGGCATTGCGGGCCGGCATATGACTGATATTCCCGCCACTCTGAGACTTGATCTTGATGAAGCTGAGATGCACAGTGAAACGGTTGCTGGTCTTAAACTCGATAAAAGCAAGTGTTTTGATCGCATTGTTCCTGCTTTCGTTGCCATCATTTTGCTTGCCATTGGTTGTCCTCAGCATGTGGTCAGCATTTTTGTTCGCCAATATGCAGGGCTGCGTAAACACTTGTCTTATAGAGGTTGGACGGCCTCCATTCCTACTACTTCACCAAATGGGGTTGCACAGGGTTGCTCCTTTTCGCTGATCGCTATTAATGCCTACATGCTCTCGTGGGTTGCTTTCTTGAAGGACATCCCCCATTTGTCATGTCGCATCTACATTGATGACATTTATTTGTGGGCGAAAATCCAACATGTCGCCAACCTTCAAACGGCACTTGAAGTCACCAAGCTTTGGGATGCCCTTGTTGGTCAAAAACTCAATGCTGGTAAGTCGGTTGCTTGGGCTTCGAATTCGACGGGTCGGAAATGCATTCGTTTGTCTTTCCCTGATTTTATGCTTCAGGAAACTATTGATGTGCTTGGTTCTAAAATTTATACTTCTCAGCGCATCGCTTTTGACTTTCCTGAGGAGAAGACCCATAAAATCGTCCTTGACATTCGTAACATTGGGGCCCTCCCGTTACCTCGCAAAATCAAGGCACAACTCCTTGGAGCTAAAGTCATTCCTCAATGCAGCTTTGCCTCACATTTGTCTAAGGTCCCTAAAGCTGCCCTTGACAAAATCCAAGCTGAAATCACCCAAGTTTTGTGGGGCAAACGACCCCACTGGAGGGCTAAGCACTTGGTTCTTGGCTTTCTTGCACCGCCGCACCGTGTTGATCCGTACTTGGCTAGGGCCTTTTGTGCCATTGTTGATTTTCTGCGCTTTCTCCACCACAATCCCGATGTTATTGCTAGATGCCGTCGGTTGGCCAACCAACCTAACTCGGGCAGGTTCTCCCTCCTCGTAGGCATTCGCCAGGCATGCCATGCCTTTGGTATCACCATTGATGATCAGCTCCATTTGCACCTCTTTGGTCACCTTGATCTCAACTTACAAGATCTTTCAGTTCGTGACATTGTGCCGTTGTTGAAACAGCTTGCAGTTCAGGCACACTATGCTCACTCCGCCAGCCTTAATCGTAAAGATTTTGCCAAACCGGATGGATTTGTAGACCTTTTTCATTCCAAGCTCTTTGGGACCCAGAAAGGAGTTCGCGATTCGGTTTCACCCCCGTTGCTTGCTCACTTTGAAGCACAACTTGTTGGGTGTACGATTACCAACGATCGTAGATTTGCTGCCAAGTTTTCGGATTCCCCACTGTGCCGTTTTTGTGAAACTGAAAAAGAATCACTTGTGCACATTTTGCAATGTCCTCAAGCAAGGCAGCAATTTCCTCCAGGTCCGGGTCATGAGTTTGGGCCGAACTTTCGACTACTTGGCATTGTGGAACACCCTTTTGCTATCATCCGACATCGGCTTCATGTTGACCGTGCTGATGCACTCCCAGTTCAGATCTTTCATAGACCTGATGATTTGCAATCCCTGTGGTCTGATGGCTCCGTGCTTTGGGGTGAGGTCTTCCCACTTACGGCAGCAGGTTATGCCATCATTGACGAGGAGGGGAAGGTGTTTCACGCTGGAACAGTTTCTCACCTGTGCCTTTCTTCCTATACTGCAGAACTGTGGGCAGTCATTGTTGCTACTTTGAAGTCCGACTGCAAACTTCATATTTACAGCGACTGCAAAGAAGTTGTTTGTCAGGTTAACCATATGGTTCAAACTGGCAATATTCCCACGAACTGCCTGCACATTGAATGGTGGAAGGTGTTGCACAAAGTCATAGCTGCTAGGAGTCTGCTGACCAGTGGACCTGTTTTGCTCTTGACGTGGATTCCTTCGCATGTTGGTGATGAACTACCTGTTTCAGTGATACCTGCTGCTGTGATCCGTGCAGCAGGCACAACACGAAAGCACATCGAACTGAATCGGCTTGCAGATGCTGTTGCTAAGCGGTTTGCCCGCTCCCGGTGTACTATTGCGGCTGAAGACAAGGGTATGTTTCAGGCAGCAATACTTCAAAAGCAACGCACCCTTACGGACTTGAACCGCTTTATTGGCTTTGAGTGTTCTGATACATTTACAGACACGCCCATGCGACAAAGTGCCGTCTCGGAGATTGACTTCCAGACGATCTACCCGGGCCTTGCGTGGAACCACAATGAAGCTGAGTTTTCTTTTTCATGGAAGCCGGAGGATTCCAGTTGCCCTCCCAAGCTTGATCTCTCTGCTTCTGATTGGCAAGTCTTTGTCAATTTTGGAAAGACGCTTAAGTGGTTTCTAGCTGACAATGTGATGTGCACTTATCAGGAATTGGCCTTTCTGTTTGTAATTCGAGGACATCATTTTAGATGCCGTGAAGCACATTTTCAAGAACTTGTCCTTAAGTTGCGTAAATGCTGTGTTGTGCTCTCAAAGACGCACAATGCACTTCCTGGGATACCAACAGCCAGGGCAACAAAATGCATTGGCAAAGTGTTGCCTCAGGGTGCACTTGTTGGTGCTCTCCCATTTTTCGCCCCTGGCGAGCTTTTCAAATTCTGCCGTGTGTTGGCCGGTGGGGCTGGCCGCTCGGCTGATTCATGGTCGTTCCCTGTCGAACGATTTCTGTAGCTCTCTTTAATTTGGCTTCGTGGTGCATTCACCGATCTGTGAGTCGTGGATGCGACTTTCCTACCTGACTGGATCGTCTGCGTGTGAACAGAATAGACTACCATCATTGATCAGTGTGAATGTGACATTGCTCCATGTCTCACATGTCCGCGAGGTGACCAGAAAAGACTACCAGACATGGTCAATCTACCAAGGGTTTAGGGCTCCAGGTTTTGACTTAGACCTATATAAGTTCCCTACAGCTCGCTCTCTCATTTGGCCCCAGGCACTGGCAGAATCTCTCTTAGCACAGCCTCCGTTGGCCAAACCGCTCGGTAGGCCTCCAGGGTCACGGTTTTTTGGAAAAACATGCGCGGCGCGCCAGGGCGGGAGGTGGAGACAAACACCGGCATCCCCGTTTGTACTCAACTCAGTGACCCAACACACAGCTCCAGCAAATTGATCCGCTCCTTGTTGCAGGTAGAATGGCCAGTCGCATTGTCTTCATGCACCAATGTACGGCAAATGAAGAGAGGCGCAAACGGTGAAGTTTTTGCATGTGGACTCAGTCATTCGACCCGAAACAAAAGGAGAACACAGTTGGGCAGGCTGCCACCTTGTGGCTTTAGTCTCAGGACAAATTGGCTAGGTGGAGGGCTCAAGCCTCAAACAGCTCGAGATGATGGTCCAAATCCAGCAACTCACACCCCTCCCGGGCAGAGCTCCGGGCCTCCCACCAATGGCTTTCGCAAACCTGCGCTTTCGAGAGAACTCCTACCAGGACCTCCAGAAATGGTCTACGAATGATTGGCGATCCCTGCACAGAGGTTTATATAAGAGGTCTGCATGTCCAGATGGGTTCAGACCGGTTGGCACTTCTGGTGGTTCCGGTTATTTTTTAAAGATTTCATGTGTGGTGGGTGAATAGAAGTACACAAATTACATGCACACAAATTACAAAGTGGCGAGCTCTTGAAACAATAACATGAACAGCCAGAATGATCTCTGACTAGGCACTGATGACACCCAAGCATCAAGCAACATGTTGCTCATCTGGAGTACCTCATGTTGTTGATCCTCCAAGTTCAGCTCTTCTGTCAGGACTCTCGAAAAGGGCAGGAACAGAATGATGACTCAATGATGACCCCCCAAAAAGAGATCCTCAAAATCATCCAAGATCCGTCGGTTCCCAGTCAGTATGATCGGCTAGGAACTCGCGGCCTCAGTGACACTCAGTGAGTGCAGTAAACTGTATCTGTCTTTGTGATTTTGTGGCCCCCCTGCAAGAATTCGCCCAAAAGGAGCCAAAGAGAGTTTTGGCTCGGCATCGCGTGCCCGGTTCGCCTGATGCTGCGCAGGGGCGTAATTCCCCACATTTGAACCAAGTAGAGGGCAGTCATTAGTACCTACACAAGTTACGTGGAACCCTGAAAGATATTAATGCATTGAAGGAACATAGCAAAAGCAAAAACACAAGACATCATGAGACCCTCAACGGGTACTTCACTTTATAAAGCAAAGGTCAAGACCCTAAGACATATCAACAAGTATCAAACTTGTTTCATGATCCCTTCATGTTTTCATATGATGTCAATTGTTTTTACCTATATCTTAACCTCATGAGGCCGTCATTAGATTGAGTCAGCCTGTCTCCTCCCGAAGAAGAGACAGGACGCCTCCAGCAGCCCCAAAGCCAAGCGAAGGTCCTCGTCGAGGTCCTCCAGTGTGTGGGGCGTGGACTTGGTCTCCCAAAAAGAAATCCCTTGGAAGACAGGCTTTACCCTTTTCTACCCAAGAAGATGCAAGTGGAAGATGGACAACCTCTACCTCTTGAAACACATTCATAGACATTCTATATAAAACAAATCATTGTGTTCCTCTACAAACAGGGTGGATTTCTGTTCGATTGTTGGATGGAGGGCAACCCTCGAAACCTCAACTAAAGGAACCCTCCTTGGAAGTGTCGTATGTTCACAATTCAATTAAGGCTTCACAACGTTTGGATGTTCAAGATTGAATAATTTGTTCGCATGCTTTGAATTGACATTCGGCCTGCAAGAACCTGCCAAAAGGCTTGGATCCCCTCGGTGCATATGAGTCCTCCATCTCTGGCGCGGGGATGCAAAGTTCCGGAGGCACTTTGATCAGCTCCTCAGCGGTCCCCGTCGGACAGGAGCACTCAGAGAGCCGTGACTGGGGAAGGCGGGACCGCAACTTCAAGGGACTTTAGACTTTAGACTTCTGCTTCACGAAGAATGACTCGCAAGAACAAGAACTACATCATTACATCAAGTAAAACATGTTGAGAATCAACAAAAAGTATGGGAGAGAAAGCCGAAGCTATAGCGATGGCAGCAGAAAACACAAATGATGCAGGAACACCTGCCTAGATGAAACGGAAAGGCAGCGGCAACTTCTGTCGTGTGCACCATTTCAGTATTCACATGAAATCAGTCATCACTGAGACATATGAATATTAATATATCATAATATATCATTGAATATCTATAAGCTTCATATAGCTATCGCAGCTATGAAATAACTACAGAACGCAGCAAGCCAACATTTCTCCATTCCATGAGAAAAACAGCCCTGAACTCTCACAAGTTCGTTCCTTTGGCTGCACCGAACGCACGGGTTCCAAATGGTTGCAAACAGAAAGTCGTTGGCCTCCAGAGCTGTAAGAGGTCAGCAAAAGTCAGGGAAAGCTGTGATGCTGTCAACCGGTCGGAAGTTGTGATGCTGTATCAGCATCGGGAGACACCCATGGTCCATGGAAGTTGGTCCATTGATGTCTCCATTGTTCTTTTTCCATTGGGGTCTCAAGTTGGTCTTCCATTGGAAGTTGAGACCCCAAGTTGGTTCATTGATGTCTCTGGGAGGTCGACCCCTTTTGGCCTCTTTTGGCATCAGAAGACCCCGTCACCGTCACCCGACCCGCCCAGCGATTGTGCCTGTGCTTCGTCCACGGCTTCAGTGACGACCAGCTCACGACCCAGCACGGGGTCCTCGGTCCGCCCAAAGCTCCCCTTTCATAGCGATGGCCTCCAACCTAGTAGCGTCCTTGCTCCTAGTAGCGATGCCAGGAGCCCCTAGTAGCTTCTTGCTCCTAGTAGTAAGGCCAGGAGCCCCTAGTAGCGATGGCCTCCAACCTAGTAGCGATCTCCACTTCTTCATTTTCCAGAAGTTGGCTGGACTGTCTACTGGAAGAATGCTCATGTTTTGTCGCACAAAACAAAGCGATCGAGCAACTTGATCTAATGGATGGCGCAGGCAGGAGCTTCAGGGAAGATTTCTCCGAGTTATTTTGATCTCATTCTGTGTTGGAGCAATTCCATGCAATTCCTACATCACCTGGAACAACTGGAACGTCAAGAAGGTGAAACCGGCCTGGCCACGGATGGCCCGCCTGGTACATGATATATATAGAATTGAAGATTCCCTTAAGTCTGCTAGGAAAGGCCTGCCTGACTTAAATCCTGGCAACCATCGAATCAAAACAGCCTCGCTGCCAACGAGATTTCCCAGATGCCTCAAACTTGATAGCACCACAACAAAAATCTTGGCGTGGTACAGTATACAATAGTATACATGAAATACAGTAATGATTGCAGCTCCTAGTAGTAAGGCCAGGAGCCCCTAGTAGATTCAGATGTATTTGATGATTACCAACCTCTTGCACCACCTCCCCGAGGCCCTGACAGTGACCACGTCCAAGGCCTCCGAGACATAGGCGCCCTGTGCTCCCGGGTGACGGTGCTCGAGGGCGAACGTCGCAGCGGGTCACCCGAAAAGTGACGTTCTGGGGGTCAATGAGTCAATGATTGACAATGAAACTTCATTGTTTTGCAACACTTCTGTTTTTTTCATTATAGTTGCAAAAATACAGAAGTGTTCAACGACCAGCCATTAAATGTTCTCTGCCAACTGAAGCTGTTTCACCACGATGTCGTCGTCTTCCGCCTCCTCTGCTAGCCATTCCAGCAGCCGACGCCCGGCCTCGTCACCTGCACGTCACCCGAGCTGTCACAACAGAGCCCGACCTGTTTGAAATACTGCGAAAAAGGGGAGCAGGTAGGAATGTGTATAGGATATAGGTAAAGGACCACTCTCTGGGCTCTAATGGATTTACTACCATTTTACATCAAACTTCAAGCATAGCTTGAATATCATGTTATGCTGCGAACCTCGGGGACTCTCCAAACATCTGCAAACTCCGAAAGGGCAGGATTCATCCTTTTAAAACGCCCAGGTCGCCCTGACTGCTCCTTGTGCCCTGATCTGAAAACCGCACCTGGCCCTGCATGGCCGCAGCGGAGGGCGAGCCCTCCGCGCAGATTCGCCTGAGAGGAGTCGATTCATCAGGATGCTTTTCCTTCAGAGCGGACCATCCGAAGATGGGTGTGAGAGCTGCGAGTATGCGTCAGCGACATGTAGTGTTTGGGTAGTACACCATCAAAGGATATCATTTATAGATTTTATTTTGTCCAGCCTATATGGGTGTGGGCTAGTTTCTTGGCTCCAAGGTAGTTCCAATGGCTTCCTTCGGGAGGTTCTGATAGAACCTCCCAGATGTGAAGCGGACTCTCAGCTGCGGACTCTTCTGGCCTCATTACGGCAACAAGGTCTGGTGTCAAGCAGGGAATGTACTTCATTTCACCTTGAAATGTCTGATCTGACAGGGTGCAAGATGGTGCAAGTGACCAACACGAGCGGAAACACATCGTCCCCTCTCTAGTTCGTTCATACCACGACCATGACACTGACCACGACAGCGCTGGCCTCTGGACCACAAAAGCTGAGACCCCAAAGGCAGACCTGAGGGAGGCAAATCACAGCAGCACGGGGCATACAGCCGTGAGCAGCACAGCACTGTGAGCAGCATAGTCTCTAAGCCAGCCACAAGAAGAAAAGAAGCGAAAAGTCACAGCACCCAAGAGCAACAAAAGCCAAATGCTAGAGGAGCTAAAAGCTGTCAACTCTGGATTAATCAACCCCCCCTTCAAGGTCAACAAGATCAATAATGTTTGAGATTGGAGGTATTGGAGACCACATCCCCTTACAGTAATAAAGGTGATGACCTCGTGATGGATGATGAGATGAAGACCTGGACGTGATGATGGATGATGGTTGATGCGATTCTGTGTGAATCATGAGAGTTTGAACCATGAGAACCATGAGAGCTCTGAGTATATTGACACATGCTTGATAAGAGATCTGATAGGATAGATTTGATATGATAGATCTGATAGGATACATGATAAGAATGATTGATGGATGAGAGAATCAGCATGGGAAAAGGGTGGATCAGAATGCTATCTCTCAAGGAGATGGCATGAGAAAAGGGTTGATCAAAAGATCAGTTTCACCATGGACCAGAAGATATTGGATATTGACCAAAAAGCAAGTAAACAGTAAATAACTATAATGGGCTACCATTGTAATAGTATGTTTTTCTGGGGCAGCTGGGCTTGATTAATAGGGGGAGGTTTCTGCTAGGAACAACATTTAGTAGAGTGATTGAGTAATGGACATGCGGAATTCAGGTTTTAAGTTCGTTTAGTATTGGGGGCTCGAGCTGGGCTTGATTAACAAGCGGAGGTTACTTAATCCGTAATCCCGTGTCAACATTACAGAAGCCAAAAGTCTCCAAACCTAATCCGTACAAAAGCCAAAAGCCACAAAAGCCCAAAGCCACGGACGCCAAAAGCCGCCACCAAAAGCTACAGAAGCCACAAGCCACAGAGACACGTCTCCGAAAAAAAGGCCACGAGAAGCCAAAGGCCACCGGAAGCCAAAACGCCAACAAAAGCCACCGGAAGCCAAAAGCCAACGAAATCCAACCAAAAGCAACCGAAGACAAAAGCCAAAGCCACCAAAGCCAAAAGCCAAAGCCACCAAAAGCCAATCAAAGCCACGAAGAGCCAACACAAGCCCACCACACCACAAACGGTGAAAAAGAAATCCTTAAAAAACAAAAAACAAAACAAAGAAAAAAAAACACATTAAACAATCTTAACTCCCTTCGGCAACCCAACTGCATGGCACTCCTGCCACACACCCTTTCTGTTTCACATCTCTCTTCCCAGCTCTCCAGAAGCGCCGAGGTCGCCACGACCACAGCAGCATGCGCCGCGCATTTGACGCCGCGCCCAAACGGTCGCCATGGCGGGGGAGTGCGTCTTGGGAGCGCCGATCGGAGCCTCATTCAATGGATAAGTTGGATGAACACAGCTCCTGCCAACACGCGAGACGAAGCGTCTCGAAAATCTTCCTCTGTATACCTTGTTTGCCTTGGGGAGAGATTCTCAGACCTGTCAGCTTGTGATTTCTCAGACCCAAAGTCATTTAATGATTCATGATGATTCCAAGAAAGTCACGGTGATTGTGGCTCATGGCCACTCAAAGCACCAATGGGTTTGGACACTCCCCTCCCAAATGCCACTCATCAGTGGCCGAAAGGGTGTGATGATCAGGACATGTATGTGGGACGATTGCTTGCCATAGATCTGATTTAATAGCGTTCTTCTTCTTCTTCTTCCTTGAGCATGCCATTCGGTGAGGGTCCAGCAATCTCAAGCAGTTTGGGGTTGTTTGGGGTTGGCATCAATGGCAGCTTGTCAAATGACAAATATGTGGTTGTATTAAAACTTGGAATGAACGGACAACTTGAATTCGTCAACAGGTCTATCCACTGCCATCATCTAAATCTATCCACTTAATCATGTTCTTGCCTGCGGCGCTACCCACCCCGCTAAGTCGTTTGACTGAACTACGCCCTCACAGTTCCAGCAAAGACTCTTGTGCCGCTTCAACCGTAGCTCTTGGCTTTAAGTTCCCTTTGATCTACTGTGCACCTCAAAAAACAACCAAAGATCGTCGACTCTGTTCATCTGCTCGCCACATGATACAATCCTCCCCATTCAAAAGCAAAAAAAATGGGGCACAGGTTACCACAAATTCTGCTTCATATAGAATGTGACCCAGAAAGATCAACTGTGCGTCTGCTCTCATCTCCCTGAGGCTGCGACTCTCGTGCGCGGCCCAAGGGCGGAGCTCGGTCTGGCAGAAGCAAGTGGCGCTGTACTCTGAGACCATCGATTCGGCAAGGCATCGATTTCTGCAACCAAAAAAGCTCCTAGGAACAAGTGCATCGCTACTAGTAACAAGTGTCTTATTGTTTCTAATAGCTTCTTGTTACTACTAGTAAGGCACTTGTTACTAGAAGCGATGCACTTGTTCCTAGTACCAAAAAAAGCTCCAAGAGTCCACGAAATCAAATAAAACGGTCCAGTCCAGAAGGTGTTTGTAGTGTCCAGCTTTACTTCCAAACATCTAGCTCTCACATCTACTGGTGGCCCTTTATGATCCTTGTAAGTGGTTGTTGAATCTGTTTGAACTGTTTCCAAAGTACCGGTCTTCTGGTGACAGAAGCTCCATGTCGCCTCCCCAATCCTAAAGAGAGAGAGAAAGAAAGAGCCGACCCAGAACAACACTATCACAAAGCACAGGGACCGCATTTCCTCTCGGGACCGGGCTTGGACCTGGGTTGAGACACCCCAAATAAAAGGCTTCCATCGACCGGAACCCGGTGGGTCATGCCACCAGTTGCTGGAAAACGTGCTAACAGCAGGGGGAATAAAAACCGCTGGTGGCGCAGGATCTACAGGATCTAGATCATGGTCTTTCAGCGGATCTTTCACTGGGTTCCTTCTTGGGGATCTTGAGATCAATTCATGCAATAGCCAATGGATGCCCGGCATAATGCTTGTGTAACCATAGACCAACATCCCTGTCATAGCAGGCCTTCTGCTTGTTGGACAAAAGGGTTGTCACTCAAGTCTTTTGCACTTAATCACCACGATAACGATAAGCCGAATCCCACAAGTGCAAGTGTCATTGTAAGGTCACTGGTCTACAAAAAGTCCCCACTTTGCTCCATCTTTTTTCCCTTCACACGGACTTTGCACCCGCTTTTGGAGCTTGTTCCGCCAAAGGGGGCAGCAAACACCTAGACCTAGAGCACACTTTGCTGCCGGTTTCCCGCGATGGAGCCAAGTGCTCACCGATCCGAGAATAAGGCAAACCTCCAACCTACTGGCTTCTACTAGCTTCTTGCTCCTGGTAGTAAGGCCAGGAGCTACTAGTAGCGTCCTTGCTCCTAGTAGCTAGTAGCGATGCCCTTTGCTCCGTTCGTAGCTTCTTGTTACTAAATGGAAGGATCCATGCCCTGGCCACGCCTGTGTCACGGCTCTCGATGACACTGGGCGGAGTCGATCACGTGCGGAGATTTCGGGAAGCGAGTCGAGTGGAAAACCCTGGGGCGAAGGGCAACGCTCGGTGCTTCCCGTCGCAGTGTCTTAGGGCTTCTTGGCGTAAACGGGCGTGAAAGAGTGCCATCGAGATGAAGCTTCATGAATTGAAGACTTCATGAGATGAGCACATGGTGACACTTAGCCATTCAGCAGCTTTGGGATGACACTCCACCTTGAGTAAGTTGGGTTTCCCCCAACGATGGATGAATGCAAGATCCCTTTACTGTATATGGCGCGAGGCTTTGGTGAATGACACGGAGAGTTGTGCATGTAGTTTGGATGTCGTTCACATCAAAAGCATCCCAGTGGAATGTCGCAGGATGTGCACTTACAGTACCGTGTTTTGGGGTCTCAATTGTGCATCCGCCCTTTGAGCGGCACTGGTCGGAGGCAACTCTACGTTCGCGAACAGGGCTACCCCCCACCTGCGCGAGAAAGTGGGACCAGTATCTATCGCCGAAACCGAAATCGAATCACATTTTACCTGGACCGCTTCAAAATTCACAAAATGTGCTACTGTAGAACATGCAAAATGTTGTCCATTTAAGGATGACCAGAAACGCTGCGGATGCTCGATTGCGAGCTAGGGGTCAACCATCGGTGCATTCGAATGAAGAGGGGGTCAAGCCTGGTTGTCTAAACGAGACAACAAGTGATGGAGCCAGCATGAGCCAGCTGATACCTAGCTAGGTCCCACCAAATCTTCTGGCCATGACATGGATGATCGGCTTTTCACTGGCTTTTCCAGCTTAGCAAGAAGCTAGTAGGTTGGAGGCCATCGCTACTAGGGTCGATGATGGTCGATGCCATCGCTACTAGTAGCAAGAAGCTAGTAGGATGATCTGCTTTTTGCTTTTCCAGCTTTTGGGATGGATCCTTCCAGTGGCTCAACTTGACTCCTACATGGTCAACCTTTCACACCAGCGGTCCACCCAACGGAGCTGCGGATGATGGTACTGAACCACATGGCTGTGGGCCCAAACCAGGATACGTCGACCTACCTGGAAGGTCAAGCTAGATGGTGGACCAGGGCTCCAGATCTTGACCCATCCCAACATGAGAAAAAAACAAAAACATAACGCTTCCGAACAACACATGTTTCAGACACATCAAACACCCAGATCGACTGCCCAACATGGGTCATCTAACAAAACGATGTCTTGTGTGGCGGAACGCCCCCAAGGAATCCGCTTCCCCCCATGTCTTCGTCTCCACACACCTCGACACACCTCGACCCCCTTCGCCTCAACACCCAAAAAAAAGAAACAACAAAAACACGCCTGCGCTTGCTGAATCGGGTGTCTGAGGTCAGCCTCGGCGTGGTGGAAAATCCAAGTCGAAAGATTTGAAAGCTTTCAGAAACCATTCGGAGCCTAGGGAACAATTCGGAACCATTAGGAGCCTATGGGTTCATAGATGTTCCCATGGGTTTCCAGAAGCCGGAACTGGGAACCGCAAGAAACAACCGACCAAGTATCTTAGCTCTTTTTATCTCCTTTTTACTTGGAGTTGTCTTTGATGGCCCATCGATTGCCTATCAGGGGGTTCTAAAGTTCTAAAGACTTGGAGGTTTCTGTCTAAACGACATGCAACAATATAAGTCATATGGGTGAGGTTTGGGCGGGCGGGAGAGCCAACGTGATTCTTTCTCAGTGTTCAGGCACTCAAGTATATATACTAATTTATATACATATAATTACTATAATATATGTGGGTCAGCATGTTGAAGAACACAACATCACAGGGTACATGACTTATCATGAGTTAACATATTTTTGTATCTTTTTGTGGTATAGGGGCACCACATAAATAGTATTGCTGTTTGAAGGTTCAACATGTTGAACACATGGACATACTGGTGGCTTTGGTGTGGTCTTCCAACCACCTCTTTGGACATCACCTTGGAGAGAACCATCACCAGAGTGTTGTGGACCTTCCAACCACCTCTTTGTGCGGCTGTGGCCGAGCTCAGGAGCTCGGCGCCCCGGCTTCGGTTTCGGCTTGACCTCGGTGCGTCAGACGTGCTGGTCGAGCGAATCGAAACTAGTCCTTTGATATCCAAAGTGGCCCTGTGGACCACCGCTAAAATCGACTCTCACATGCTCTTAAGGCACTTCTGGAAATGCATTGACATGAATACATATAGAACCCAAATCAGTCAGCGTTTGTCCGTTCAATCAACTGTGCCTTTGGAGGTGCAGGGAAATGGGAGACATGATGAACACCGCGGCATCTTTTTATTTGGGGATCTTTAAACGACAAAATATGATGAAATATTACCTGCATGGGTTGCTATCAAATACTCAGTGAACCGCATGACGAAGAAAACGAAACAACACAAACAAAAAACGGTGGGCCCCCAAGGTGTTGTGCAATGGAGCATGAAAGCTGAGTCAATCAAGGAAAGGACAAACATAAGTTCAATTTGTGGGTTTGAACAATATTCAACCGCACTGCTCTTGACAAGACTTCTTTAGCCGCAAGGTTTGTCGTGACCATGTACACGATGTGGTCTGCAGCAGTCTCCGTGTAATTTTCTTATATGTTCTTCTCGCCCCGGCTCACACTGGAAACCAATTCACCAAACTCCGCTTGGGCACCAAAAAAGCTCACATCAACACAACATAACATACCCAATTAATCTCGATTTCGCCTGCAATCCCATGCCGCACTTAATGCCTGAAGTCTGTACTCTCCTCTCTACCAATGGACATTTACACCTGTGCAGACTGTTGGTCTCTCTATCCGGCCGGCTCGCACCTTGTCAGTGAAGGGGATTTCCAGCAACATGGGACCAGGATCCCCTGCGCACCAGTGAAGTCTGCATGTTCAAGCAAACCCTACCAGTCTAAGGACCAAGTAAAACCAGTCCTTGACTTCATTGAGTACTGTT